GCAGATGCATGTTTGATGGTCATTGCTGTGCTTCCTAGACTCTGCACACGAAGGCTTTACCACTGAGCCCTGCTGGGACCCCAGCCCTCAACTCTCCCGGATTCCCAGTCTTCTTTGTGTGGCTGCTTTTGAGGGGCCCAGACACAGTCTGTGTTTAAAAGTAGTAGAGTTTCTGTACCCTCCTCTCTCCAGACCCCAGACTCTTCCAAGATCTTTGTGGGTGGTTCATGCCCTCTCTCAAGAGAGCAAGGACAAGTCCTTTTCATTAACTCTGTGATTCAGTCAGCGAGTGTCCAGTCACCCAGAGGACACTCGCTGCACTGAGTGGCCTGGACTTTGGATAAGTACAAGGACTCAGCCGTGAGTTATAAATTATGATGCATTCTTTTCTCCCTGCTGCTGAGGAGCATCAGTTTGCATGATGTCATCCAAAGGGTGGTGATGGAAACCAGTAGAATTAACAATGTAAAGATGCACCCCGGTCCTCACGCGGATGCGTTTCTGAAGAGTTCAGACAAGGTACAGAGGAGTGAGGAGGAGAGACAGGAGAAACAGGAGTGCCTGTTGCTATGCTGACGACTGCTTGGATTGTTTCCAATCTTCTGTGATAACAGATACCAGAACAACATATTCTTCATGTAGCTATGAAGACGTTTTAGGAGTCTCAGTGATCATTACTAATCAGATCAGGACTGTCTCCATTTTCCCTCTGCTTTCTTCCCTCAACATGTGAACGTGACTTTACTTAAGAAACAAACACAATTAAGTGAGCAAAGTTGATAAAGTATCAGAGCGATGCTTGGTGCTCAGCAGATGCTCCTGATCATGTTGCTCATACTTCTGCAGGGTCGGGATGCTCAGACTTACCGTGACCAGGAGCTGCTGGACCCCTCATGGATTCTCTTCTCTGTTTCTCCCCATCTCCTCCTCTCCCAGCTGCTCAGCACCGTCTCCTTTCCCGTGTCACCCCTCTCCTACAGCCTTCTTCTCCCTTCTTTCCTTAGCCTTCCTACATTAACATGCTATGTCCAGCGTGGCAGGAGTTCAGAGAAAACTTGAAGAGGGACGATGGTGCAGTATGAAGGAAAGACACAGCACCCCATTAGACCCTCAAGAGTAGGGAACCAGGAGGCTCTCTGCTGAAGGAACAGAAGCCCCGGGCTCCTGTCCTGTTGTGCACTGATTGCTTTAGACTGCAAACAATGTGACTTTTACTCAGCGCACAGTCAGTCTGGAGAAAACTTTGTCAAGACTTCTGCATATGTTATTTTAAAGAATCTGTTTCGGGGGCTGGAAAGATGGCTCAGTGGTTAAGAGCACTGACTGCTCTTGCAGAGGACCTGGGTTCAATTCCCAGCACCCACGTGACGAGTACAAACCATCCTTAACTCCAGTTCCAGGGGACCCCGACGCCCTCTTCTGACCTCCGAGGCATTGCACAACACGGGTGCACTCACATACTTGCAGGCAATACACTCATACACATAAAATAAAAAAAATAAAATAAAAAGAATCTCTTTGCTACAATGAAAACTGCCCAAACATAAGAGGGCATCAGGACACATGTTCAGTGTGTTGTTGCTGTGTACAGTCTGGGGTGGGGCACCGTGTAATCTGCCTCAGCGCCCATGCCTATGGCTTCGGCCAAATAGTAGTTCTTGACCAGCAGCGCTGTTGCACATGGTCAAGTGTGCTTTCATTAGCATTTAGGTAAATGGTGTCTTCAACACGATTCAGAAAGATCGGTGGTCTCCGACATTCATAAATGTGTGCACATTCTCGTCTTTGCACTGTTTACGTATTCATTTTTACATTTTCTCACATTTCTATTTTTATACAGTGGACCACGTGTCAAGTTTTGTCATGCTTGCACAGATGCATGCCCCGTCCGGGGAGCTCCTGTCTGAGTTTGATAAAGATGAGATAATGCACATGGATCAGGACAAGGAGACCGTCTAGTATCCGCCATCATTTCAACAATCCCTTTCCTTGGATGCTCATGTCGGGCTGACCAATATCGCGGTGATAAAGTCAAACTTGCATACCATGGTCCGGTTGTCCAGCCACACTCAGGCTCTCAATGGTACTGCCCAGCTTGCTTCTTCCCCTGCTGTCCAGCTGGGAAGGGGTGAGAGGGCCCTGCTCCACACCTAGAGTGGAAGATCCAGATGCCCTGTGCTGAGTCACCCTCTTCTGGAGTGGCTGTGGGCTCGTTTCAGTATGGTGGGGAGCTGGTATCTTCCTCTTCTCTTTCCACTCATGAGGGGCTAAGCTGAGGGAGTCTGATCAGTGTAGGAGACTCCTGGCTCTCATACAGGACCCCACAGGTGCCATAAAGTCTGAGCCTAAGGTAGAGGACACTGGGGTGGGGCCTCTGTGACTCATCAGAACAGGGTCTCACCAGGTTCTGTCTCCTCCCAGAGCCTCCTGAAGTGACCGTGTTTCCCAAGAACCCTGTGGAGCTGGGCCAGCCCAACGTCCTCATCTGCCACATCGACAAGTTCTCCCCCCCCATGCTCAATGTCACGTGGCTGAGAAATGGACAGCCCTTCACTGAAGGAACTTCTGAGACCATTTTTCTGCCCAGAATGGACAACAGGTTCTATAAGTTCCACTACCTGCCATTCATTCCCATGGCTGAGGACTTCTATGACTGCCAGGTGGAGCACTGGGGCCTGGACCAGCCGAGCGTCACTCACTGGGGTAAAGAGCCGCTTGCCCTCCATGGCCTCCATGCACCCTCTGCTCCTGGACCTGGTGTCCTGGCATCCCCACTGTCCTAACTCCATCTCTTCACTTTCCTCAGAGGCACAGGAGCCAATCCAGGTGACTGAGATGACGGAGACTGTGGTCTGTGCCCTGGGCCTGGTGGTGGGTCTGGTGGGTGTCATCGTTGGCACCGTGCTCATCCTAAGGGCTCTGCACTCCAGGCGAGACACCCTGGGCCCAGTGACCCATGTGAGTTACTGTGGAGTTGGGGATCTTAGGGTGAGGTCAGAAGAACAGAGGAAAAAGGAGGGAGCCTAGCACCCGCTGTTCAGAACGAGGAGAGGAAAATTCAATTTAAGAAGTGCACGCTGATCTCCCGATAGTTGAAGCACAGAGCTGCATAGTTAACCATTTACTATGCCCAGGCGCTCCCTGAGCATGTAGTCTATTAGCGCACCAACAGTCTATGAGATGGGTCCTACTACTGTGGTTTTACTCCTGATGCTCATGTCCTCTTGTGCACAGGAGGACTGAGCACCGTAATCAAGGCCACACAGCTGGGAAGTCCTGACGCTGACA